GAAAATCAGGCCAAACAAGTTCTCTCATGCATACCACAGCAAGTCCTGCCACTCCCTCTGTGCCCAGCTGCCCTGTCTCATTCCTCGGTTCCACTGGCCCGTAACAGAACAACGTTTATAATCCCAAACAGAAGAATTCAGGGTTAGCCCTGCGAGGTTTATTAAATTATCAGCCGCCCGCACGCTGAATGTCATCCGACATTTCGATATTAGCACCCTGCGCCATTGTATATATAGTCATTTTATTTATTGCTTCTGGTTTTGCATCCTTAGTAGCATGCTAGTTAGTAATGGTTTAATTATGGCTTCGAAAGATAGCCGGTTGACCGTTTGTACATGTCCGCAAACCATTGTAAACTAGCTGAAATGGTGCTTGTTCTGTTCATTTTCGTTCCTTGGGCTTACACTTGTTAACAACATTTACATTTTAGTCATTTAGCAGACGCTCTTATCCAGAGCGACTCACTGCCTGTGACACAGCAGCTAATTTACGTTGGCTGCCCCCCCAAGTACCTAGCTAACTACTAACGTTATGACTATTTACATTTTAGCTAACTACGTTAGCCAGCTCGACTTGACATGCCAAATGTATCAGCATGCAAAACCTGTTCTACAACGTTGCCTACACGATTTAACTAAAGGCTACCTAATGTGTATTATAATATAATTAAAGTCAGCTGCATAACGTCAATGGTTAGGAACCTTATCTAAGCCAGTTGGCAGCTGACAATTTTGCTAACGCTAGCTGGTTAGCTAGCTACTCAGCGAGCATTAGCAGCTGCTTACACTGGTCAGACAGCAAAACCCAAACGCTTACCCAATTTATCGCTTCATAAAGATGTTCGTTCACATATTCTATAATGAAATCTTCAAAAAGCGCATGTTTATTGCTCAAGTTAAGAAATCACAAGAGATCCGAGGTATCCTTCAATCATCAGCGGCCATGTTCGTCAGGTGAATAATAACAGCGACGCTTGCGCTGTGAAGGCCGGCAACGACGCTCCTACTGCGATGGTGCGTGCGCTTCACCGAGGTCCGCGTGCCCACGAATAAGGTATGTATCAGGGAGGACAGTATGTGTAGCCCTTCATATATACAGTGAGTCATTGGTGTAGCCCAGGGATGGGCAACTTTGATAGGGGTGGGTGCCACAAAAAATCAGAACTCCTCATGAGGGGCCACAGTTGTTCGCGGGTCTGCTTACCCACATCAATACCACCCACAAACACATTGTTAGCGAAACATTTTAGTGGCCCCCCTCTTGACAGCAGAGATAAAAGATTAAAATAAACGTTTAAAAGTTCATTTCCTGCAGTTGTACACATTTTACCATTGGATGGAGTGAAATGATTGCAGTTTTTAATGTGATATCTGAGTGAGACTGACTAACAAAATCAATAGGGACCCCCCAGCCATGATTCGACCATGAAAACAACTAATTTAGCAATCCCAATTTGTTTTGCTGACATGGGTTAATTGACTGACTATTAGTGACTAACATAAGATGAGAAAAACTGCTGATGAACAAACAACATTTTGAAATTGCACCTTTTGTATTCTACCACTCTAACTCGCAACAGTAAGTCGAGACCCCAGTGTAAAATCTGTCAATTCAAGTTGGAGGAAATAAATCAAACCTGAAGACTGTAGATCTTCAGTCATTTTAACGAATTAAAATGGTATGATTTTCAAGAATTTGATTCCAAATTGATGGAGTCTACAATCGTCCTACATTGACACTGCGATTTTTTTACTTTCAAATGTATACTGAACAAAAGCCATTGATTTCAAAGTTTAAAGGGATACTTCAGGATTTTGGCAATGAAGCCCTTTACTTCCCCAGAGTCAGAAGAACTCGTGGATACCATTTGTCTCTGCATGCAGTTTGAAGGAAGTTGTTAACTAGCATTAGCGCAATGACTAGAAGTCTTTGGTAACTGATAGCATGCTAGTAAATACCATAGACCTCCAGTCATTGTGCTAACGCTAATTAACAATGGCTCGTGAAACTACCTCTAACTTTCTTCATACTGGATGTAGAGACCAGTGGAGGCTGCTGAGGGGTTGGACGGCTCACAATAAATATTCCACTTATTCCACTCCAGCCATTACCACGAGCCCGTCCTCCCCAATTAAGGTGCCACCAACCTCCTGTGGTAGAGACATAGAAATGGCATCTGACTCTGGGGAAGTAGATAAAGGTCTTCATTGCCAAAATCCCAAAGTATCCTTTTAACAAGCTATCGAGCTCTATGCACAATGACTACTTTTAACAATTTACACAGAACATTTTACAAGAAAACATTAACAGGAAGAACTGTGCAGATACAAAGTTTGGTAACATAATAAAACTGAGGGAGATTTTACTGTAATTCTGCTACCAAATTTACCATCTGCAGTTTTCCCACTAAATATATTCTTATTTTTTACTGAATAAATTGGTCAAAGTAGTCATTGTGCATAGTTGTATGGTTTGTTAAACTTTTAATTCAATGTTTTTTGTTTGGCATACATTTTCAAGTGAAAAATTGGAGTCTCAGCATAATTCCCTTACCGTGGAATTTCTCTTATAACCACACACAGAAAACAAGGACCCATGTCTCCATTGTTTATATTTTTGCTACTGATATCTTTGTTATAATTGCATTATATGTTTTATAGTTGTTTTTATGTTTTATATTTGACTTTGAAAAGTAAATGTGTGTCATAACGAGAGCTTGGGTCTGAGGTTTTATCTGCAAAAAGAGGATTCTGAGATAATTGGCTTTAATGTTCCGAACCCTCATTGGTTTGAATGGTGTCAGCGATTTTTTTTAAATATTGTATTCTTTTGAACTTAACAACATGAATTGGAGTATTTACAGTACTATATACGGAGAGAACATTGAACTGAACAAAGCTATGTCAATAACTACATTTTGAGAAAAATGCAGATAGAACCTTACATTCCCAAGCTCTTGATTGGCTGATTTGCCATTCTCTTCTCTTCCTTGTTGGTCAGCTTTGGTCGGACATCACTGTAATGCCTCTCTCTATACTTGGAAGAGCTTAGGATAGCTTTCTTACTTTTCTTACCTTAAATATTTGTTGTTGTTTATATTTTAACACTGGAATAAGAGCCAGTCATGTAACGGGAATATGCTGCTGTTTGTGTACACTGAATGTGGCCAGAATCTCACTTGCCATTAAACATGCAACTTCATAGCAATATCGAAGAGTGTTTATTTTTTTCAAGGCATTTTATTCCTTTACTACTACAGATATACAGTATTCTAAACATTAAGGGATATTGCATTGTGAAACATTTTCATGATACACACACAAGGTGGCTCCCAAACACAATAAAATAACAATTACACACACACAGACATACACACCGTACTGAAGACAAAGACACTCATAGAAAGCTGGGAAAAAGTGGATACCCTGTGGAATGTTTCAAAAGTCACCTTTCATGAGATCGGTAGCTCACACATTGTCAAAGCCCTAAACCTCTTCTTACATAGTAAGCCTCAGTTGCTTCCCTTGTTCATCTCTTGGTCTTTGAGACTGAATGGCTAGCCAGTGGTTAGTGGTAGGCCAGGGTCCTGTTCACCAGTCACGGAACGGGACAAAAATGGTCAGAAACAGAGTGAAACCTGGAGATACTATCTGAACTTGTCCAATAAGAATTAAAATAATTTTAGTTTAACATTGCACTACGGTTTTGAAACGTTTTGCTACAGTGTGCTCAAATGAATATGACCCATGCCTATTCCTCACTGAGGCCTTAGGCATTCAGCTCTTAAGACTCTTCAGCTAAAAACCTTATAGTTTCTCCTTGTTGTTTTGACAGGGACCATTAGCCAAGATAGCTAATCAGGCTTCAAGGAGCAGGTTTCCTACCCCCTGACCATCGCTCACAGAACTGATTCTAAGAATGCTGAGGAAAACATTTAACCAAAGGATATTGAAACCCTTTTCCACTCACAAGGTGTCTGAAGTGCACATAGAACGCATACGCTGACATGTGTCAAGTGTTCAGTCAGGCCGAATCCCAAATGGACCCCTAGACCCTACGCCCTATGCACTTGTGGAGATCTGAAAGGATTTGATTGGTATAAGCAATATGGTGAAACTTACACCTAGCCAATCAGAGGGCAAGGTGGACCTTTTGACCATATTACTTACACCTGTCAAATCCTCTCAGATCTCCACAAGTGCATGGAGCATAGTGCAGGGTTCCCCAACTGGCGGCCCGCGGGCCATGGTTTTATTTGGCCCCCCAAGTTTTCTGAGCAAAAAAACTTTTATTTCTTTGTGTGGAATATTCATTGTTGGACATAATACTGTAAAAACACCAGGAAATCAGCTCCAAGTGATTTTAATTTAAGAAATCTGTTCCCAAATATTCCCATGAATAATAGAGAGACACGTGATCGTATTCAAATGTAAGCAAGGTTTGAAATGATTATGTTTTAGTCAAACATTATATCTGTTTGGGCTTTGCAGTCTACAAATGTTTTTTTATTATGTTCCGGCCCCCCGACCATCTGCTCCAGAAAAAATCGGTACGCGGCTGAATGTAGTTGCTGATCCCTGGTGTAGTGTCTAGGGGTACATTTGGGATTCGGCCTCAGTGTCTCTGGCCACCATTTTGTGCGTCCATCTTTGAAGTGGGGTAGATCTGAGATCCCTTTAGTGAAACAATTGAGACCTCCAAATAACATCTATCACACATCATGACCTGTCGGTAGTGGGACAGCTCTTTCTGCATACCTCCATTTTGTCATCCCTGCCATCATTTTAAATCACGCAGAACTTTTGGCAGTTGATTGTCATGAAAAAGGGGGAAATCTTCACGTCATCTCGATTTTTAAAACCGGCCACAAGTCTCTCATCTCTTTCACAGGATTGTACGATACGCCAACACACGTTTTGTTAATTCATCGGGCCTTCGTCCATATCAATATATTGTCTATTATATACAGTATCATTGTAGGAATCCAATCCCTTGAAGGTCACTTGTTGTTCTTCCTCTGCAGTTCTTCCTCCACGTTCTTCCTCTGCTGTACTAGGAACCACCCGCAGGGTCTCACGTCCAGCTTGAGCTGGTCCAGCACCCACTGGTCCTTCTGAGCCCCATCCATGAACTCCTCCAAGGAAATCTGGCCTGGAAACGGAGAGAGAGAATGAAAGGAATACCTGTATATATGTGTGTGTGTATAGATATATACTGTACATACAGTACCAGTCAAAAGTTTGGTCACACCGACTCATTCAAGGGTTTTTCTTTATTTTTACTATTTTTACATTGTAGAATAATAGTGAAGACATCAAAACTATGAAATAACACATATTGAATCATGTAGTAAACAAAAAAGTGTTAAACAAATCAAAATATATTTTATATTTGAGATTCTTCAAAGTAGCCACCCTTTGCCTTGATGACAGCTTTGCACACTCTTGGCATTCTCTCAACTAGCTTAACCTGGAATGCTTTTCCAACAGTCTTGAAGGAGTTCCCACGTATGCTGAGCAGAGCCAGTTTCATCATAGTGCTTGATCGTTTTTGCGACTGCACTTGAAGAAACTTTCAAAGTTCTTGTAGTTTTCCGGATTGACTGACCTTCATGTCTTAAAGTAATGGTGGACTGTCATTTCTCTTTGCTTATTTGAGCTGTTCTTGCCATAATATGGACTTGGTCTTTTACCAAATAGGGCTATCTTCTGTATACCACCCCTGCCTTATCAAAACACAACTGATTGGTTCAAACGCATTAAGAAGGAAAGAAATTCCACAAATTAACTTTTAATAAGGCACACTTGTTAATTCAAATGCATTCCAGGTGACTACCTCATGAAGCTGGTTGAGAGAATGCCAAGAGTGTGCAAAGCTGTCATCAAAGCAAAGGGTGGCTACTTTGAAGAATCTCAAATATAAAATATATTTTGATTTGTTTAACACTTTTTTGGTTACTACATAATTCCATATTTGTTATTTCATAGTTTCGATGTCTTCACTATTATTCTAAAATGTAGAAAATAGTAAAAATAAAGAAAAACCCTTGAATGAGTAGGTGTGTCCAAACTTTTGACTGGTACTGTATATACCGTATATACACTCAGTTGGCAGTTTATTAGGTACACAAAAATGGTTCGCGCCTACAGACAGTGAGTCACGTGGCCGTGGCTTGCTATATAAAGCAAGCAGACAGGTATCGAGGAATTCAGTTACTGTTCGATTAAACATTAGAATGGGCAAAACGAGTGACCTAAGCGACTTTGAGCGTGGTATGATAGTCGGTGCCAGGCACGCCGGTTCCACTATCTCAGAAACGGACGGCCTCCTGGGCTTTTCACGCACAACAGTGTCTAGGGTTTACCAAGAATGGTGCGATAAACAAAAATATCCAGTCAGCGGCAATCCTTTGGGCGAAAACAGCTTGTTGATGAGGGGTCGAAGGAGTGTGGCAAGAATCATGCAAGCTAAAAGGCGGGCCACAAACAGACAAATAACGGTGCAGTACAACAGCAGTGTACAGAACGGCATCTCGGAAAGCACAACTCGTCGGTCCTTGTCACGAAGGGCTAGTGCAGCAGACGACCACATGGGTTCCACTCCTATCAGCTAAAAACAAGAAGAAGCTCCAGAGGGCACGCAATCACCAACACTGGACAATTGAGGAGTGGAAAAACATTGCCTAGTTCGACAAATCCCTGTTCCTGTAGCCTCATGCTGATGGCAGAGTCAGGATTTGGCGTAAGCAACATGAGTCAATGGCCCCATCCTGCCTGGTGTCAACGGTACAGGCTGGTGGCGGTGGTGTAATGGTGTGGGGAATGTTTTCCTGGCACACGTTAGGTCCCTTAGTACCAATTGAGCAAGATTTCCATGTCCTGAAGAATTCAGGCTGTTCTGAAGGCAAAAGGGGGTCCAACCCGGTACTAGATGGGTGTACCTAATACTCCAATGCTTCCCACAGTTGTGTCAAGTTGGCTGGATGTCCTTTGGGTGGTGGACCATTCTTGATAGACGGGAAACCGTTGAGCGTGAAAAACCCAGCAGCGTTGCAGTTCTTAACACAAACCACACAATCCATGTCTCAATTGTCTCAAGGCTTTAAAATCTTTCTTTAACCTGTCTGCTACACTTCATCTACACTGATCAAAGTGGATTTAACAAGTGACATCAATAAGGGATCCTAGCTTTCACCTGGTCAGTCTATGTCATGAAAAGAGCAGGTGTTCTTAATGTTTTGTACACTCAGTTTATTTATACAGTGGGTACCGTGATGATTGACACCCTCGATAAAGATGAGCAAAAATTACTGTATAAAATAAATAATTCAAATACTGAGCTAGATTGTATGCTAGAGAACATTTGGGAAATACAATTGCTCAGAGAAAACGATTTTGTTTAACAAGTAATATTTATTTCTCAAAAAGGTAGGGGTCAAAATTATTCACACCCCTGTTTTCAAAACCTTGGAATACCTTAAAATTGAGAGGATAATGCTACTTTTTCAACAACAAAAAATATGAGATGGAGAACACATTGGGAGGGATCTTAGACCATTCCTCCATACAGAATCCTTCCAGATCCTTGATATCCTTCATCTGCGCTTATGGACTGCCCTCTTCAATGCAAACCTTAGGTTCAATGGGGTCAAGTCTGAGACTGAGATGGCCAATGCAAAATGTCGATTTTGTGGTAAATTAACCACTTTTTTGTGGATTTTGATGTGTGCTTGGTGTTATTGTCCTGCTGGAACATCCACTTGCAGCCATCCAGGACCTCTATACCAGGCGGTGTCAGAGGAAGGCCCTAAAAATTGTCAAAGACTCAAGCCACCCTAGTTATAGACTGTTCTCTCTGTTACTACACAGCAAGCGGTACCAGAGCACCAAGTCTAGGTCCAAAAGGCTTCTTAACAGCTTCTACCCCCAAGCCATAAGACTCCTGAACAGCTAATCATGGCTACCCGGACTATTTGCATTGTCCCCCCACCCCATTTTACTGCTGCTCTTTAATTATTTGTTATTTTTATTTTGTACTTATCTATTTTTTACTTAACACTTATTTTTCTTAAAACTGCATTGTTGGTTAAGGGCTTGTAAGTAAGCATTTCACTGTAAGGTCTACACCTGTTGTATTCGGCGCATGTGGCAAATAAAAATTGATTTTATTTGATGTTTCAGTCTCCTGGCAGAGGCAACCAGGTTTTTGACTAAAATGTTCTTGTACTTGGTAAAGTTCATGATACCGTTGACCTTAAAGGACCCCAGGACCAGTGGAAGCTAAATAGACCCATAACATAAAAGACCCACCACCATATTTTACAGTAGGGATGAGGTATTTTCTGCATTGTTCTTCTCGAAGGCCAAACCCACCGTTAGTGAGCGAGGCCAAATACCTCTATTTTCGTGTCATATGACCATAGCACCCGTTCCAATCCAAGTGCCAATGCCGTTTAGCAAACTCCTGGTGGTGCTATGGTCAGATGGCATGAAAATAGAGCTATTTGGCCACGCACACCAATGGTGGGCAGAAACGTTTGCACTCTGGTCTTCTCAACATGTTGGCTCTGCGCATACATACACCTTCATTTGCTTTGCTGAAATGTTTTAGTACTACCTTACTACACCCACAATGGAATGAGTATATTGCACACATACAGGCCTACACAGATACTACATGTCTAATGATAGACAGACACCTCACACAGACTTACCGTCTTTATTCTTATCCACCAGGTCAAAGATCCGGTCAGTGATCTGATCAGGGGTCAGGTTGTCAGTTTCAGATGGGTTCCCATGCCTCTTGATATTGTAGATGATCTGCAGAGAGAGGAAGACATGAGAAAATGGATTGACTATGGTGAGTGGGAGCAGGTTATGTATACACATGTTGTATAGATTGAAGCAGGTGATGGCACACCAGACAGAAAGGTGTTTTTTTATATGGCTCAATATGCTGTATGTCATCTCATATCAAACGTATAGTTTCATATCCCTGCATATAATTAGGCTTACTGGCTATATAGTTTTGGTATGCATGGTGCATTAAAAAGGAGTACAATTAGCGTGGGAAAATGTTAAGGCATCTCAATTTGATGAGAGGGTCATACCCAGTATCTTGTTTACATACATCATGTTCAGAGGGGATCTCTGGCAGCATACAAGGCTTTTTAGCTTCAGGGAACTTATACGGGATGTTCCAAGCCAACTCCCTCCACAATGTCTCTGACAATTGATCCCCTAGAAGTCGATAATCTAATGGGTCGACGTGGCTATCTAAACTAGGCTATGTCTTCCTGGAAACCTTTCAAATCCATAGTCTAAACAAGATTAAGCTCCTTTAAAGGTAATGCTAGTATGGCCATTCACGGGGTGGGCGTCACGTAGGCCTATAACCACACAAAGCCAGCAAGAACATCGGGAAGCCAGTTTGTAGAGTAACATATTTGACAGGACTTCGGCTTCCAGGTGTTTAGGTCAGGACTTCAAAATAAATGGAGAAAAAACACATCTAAACAACAAGCCTCTATACACTTACTTTGACAACTTGTTTTAGCTCCTTTTTGTCGAGGTGTCCGTTTCCATCTCTGTCGTACAATTTGAAAGACCACCTCAGTCGGTCCTCGAGCTTTCCTCTAAGAACGAGGTGCACTGCTGCCACATACTCCATAAAGTCTAGTGTGTTGTCCTATGGATAAAAACAAGGAATTAAATCAACTAAACACCAATGAATGTAATGTAGGTGATGATCTCTGTGTGATGTGGAGACATCATTGTCCCTTTTGTGTGTAACCACGGAGAATGTTGATTGCTGTTACGTATTTGAGCGTTTCAGCACCACGGACAGCGCGCGGGTGTATCTACGTGTGTATAAGCCAGGGCAGACATTTACATTTTAGTCACTTATCCAGAGAGACTTACAGGAGCAATTAGGGTTAAGTGCCTTGCTCAATGGCACATCAACATATTTTTCACCGGCTCGGGGATTCGAATCAGGCTAGCGAACTTTTGGTTACTGGTCCAACGCTCTTAACAGCTAGGCTACCTGCCTACCTTTAATTCATAGCTTTAATGTGTATTTCTCTAGGCAATACAACCAAGATAATATCACACTGAATTAATTGTTTTATAATCTACAACTGTCTCAGCTTCTGGCAAAGGCTACTAGACTACTTATGTCCATTATCTCTTCCTCTAAAGATGCTTAGCTTAATAAATCAGTACAAAAGGTACCTAAACACGTACATGGTTCGCGTCAAACGATCGAAATACGTTGTCCATGAATGCGGATTCCTCCTCTGTCGAGTCGCTGTTAATTCCAAAGATTTTCTTGAATTCGTGTAAATGCAGGTTGCCACTGGGACACTCGCTGGCGAATTTTCGGTATAGTTCCTGGATATGTGTGAGGGCCACCTCCTCGTCTAGCTCACTGTGTGATTGACCCATGGTTGAGCAGATCCAAGTCCTTTAAAGGTGGTCTATGAAGTTCTTAACGAATAACTTCAATCGATTTCAATCGATGGTAAAAGTAATCTACAACACCCATTCCTTCCACGCTCTCAGAGACCACAAAACAGGTTTGCGCCCAAGTCAATGAGTTTGAGGATTAACCCAACATTCCAACATTTGGCTTAGCCTACTGTTGATTGTTGATATTTTTAGTCGATATTTTAGATCCGTTATTAAAAAATCCAATCGAGACAGGCGGGAACAAATCAAGATGCATCAAGCGCCAAAGCCCGTGTTAGATCAGGTACTATTCCATTCTTTGGATATCTGAGGGGATTATTTAACACTGGACCTCACCAAGATTAACGACTAGTGAAGTCAACCGACCGACTAGCCACACAACCTCAACTGCTCTCCCTGCCCTTATAAAAAAGGGTTCTTCGGCTGCCCCCATAGGTAGCACTCATTTGGGTTCCATGTAGAACCCGCAGTGTAAAGGGTTCTACCTGGAACCAAAAAGGGTTCTCCGGTGGGGACAGCCGAATAACCCTTTTAGGTTCTAGATAGCACCTTTTTTTTCTAAGAGGGTATAGCCTACTCAGACCACAAAGTCGAAGTCATTTAATTAGCCTTATGTCACCCACTCCAAATTTGCCTCTCTGCTCTTTATCAGACACAAGTCACCAAAACTACCGTGACGCTTTATTTGCTTGGTATTTATTCAACCTTAATTTACGTCCAGGCTAGTCTCATTGGAATAAATCTATTTTGCAAGCGAGACCTGAGTAGATAAATGTTTAAGCAGGTGGATGTATTCATTAAACACTGAATACCACAAGCCAATGACCTGGTATGAGGGTAAATAGCTAGGATTAATTGACTGTGTTCATTCATTTATTCCTAAAAAAATTGAGATGATTGAATAGCCTAAGCCAGCACTTTGTATGTGTGTTTCAGAGAGTTTGCCAGTAGTTAATTTAGTAATTGACTTAGTGCATTTAATTCACTTTAGGTGTGTGCCCTGGGTCATCGTGTAACTCACACCTGTGCTCACTGACACCTGAACAAGGCAAAGCCTCCAACTTTACATTCAAGAAAAACAAATGTGAAGTAGTCATTGTTTCCCATATATGCATTTAGCAGCAACACTGAAAAAATATAGTGTGTGTGTGTTGTGTAATAATTAGTTATAGCTGTGGGATCCAGTTAAGGTATTAGCTGAACACTCACCTCTCACCAAGTTATCAACCTTCTGTAGTCTGGCCCTAAAATAACAGTTAATCTCAGGGGAATCATTCACCTAAAAAAAACAGATTAGGGGCGGACTGACGGACGGACAGACATTTCCCCTAAAAGGCCCAAGCTACAGAGGTCTCACAACACCTTAATACACACAACACATGTTGCATAAGTATGTTTGTGTGCATGTGTGTGTGTATGTATGTGTTAGGAGGATACATCCCTTCATTCATTGCAGAGGGAATTCATTATATGAATAAACATAGAATGTGGTCATCAAAAACAAAAACCTACAGGTGACCTAAATCCATTTGACATTATGCATATGGACAAACAGCCCTAAACATATGGATAAAGAGAGACATTGCAGAGAATCTGTATAACATATGGATAAAGAGAGACATACGGCGGAGAATCTGTATAACATATGGATAAAGAGAGACATACGGCGGAGAATCCGTATAACATATGGATAAAGAGAGACATATGGCGGAGAATCTGTATAACATATGGATAAAGAGAGACATACGGCGGAGAAACCGTATAACATATGGATAAATAGAGACATACGACAGAGAATCCGTATAACATATGGATAAAGAGAGACATACGGCGGAGAATCCGTATAACATATGGATAAAGAGAGACATACGGCGGAGAATCCGTATAACATATGGATAAAGAGAGACATACGGCGGAGAATCCATATAACGCATGGATAAAGAGAGACATTGTCACGTTCGTTCATTGACGGGTCAGACCAAGGCGCAGCGTGATATATGTACATGTTTATTAAACCAAATAAACACAATGACAAAACAACAAACTAAACGAAACGTGAAGTCCAAGGTAGCACACACAACATACCTTACACGGAACAAGATCCCACAACCCACTAGTGCCAATAGGCTGCCGAAGTATGATCCCCAATCAGAGACAACGAACGACAGCTGCCTCTGATTGGGAACCACACCGGCCAACATAGAACTACACATACTAGAATAACAACATAGAATACAAACACCAAAGAATATACACACCCTGACTCAACATATACGAGTCCCCTGAGTCAGGGTGTGACAGACATACGGCAGAGAATCTGTATAACATATGGATAAAGAGAGACATACGGCGGAGAATCTGTATAACATATGGATAAAGACAGACATACGGCGGAGAATCTGTATAACATATGGATAAAGAGAGACATGGCGGAGAATCCATATAACATATGGATAAAGAGAGACCTACGGCGGAGAATCCATATAACATATGGATAAAGAGAGACATACGGCGGAGAATCCATATAAAATTGCATTTTAATACAGTAAGTCATCACAAGTAAGCGCACAATACAGTGTATCTGGAGCATCTGAAAAGTTCACAGTGAATTTACTGTACACACATTGGAGAGCATAGAGAAGTCAGTTCATGAACCCTGAACTCTCACTACCCCCTCTTTCTCACTCTTCCATCCTCATAGAGAATCAGATAGCTGGGTGGGATTTCTTGTTATAAAACGGGTCATGTGGATCCTGGATGCTGATTGGATCCTGGATGCTGATTGCTCAGTATTTGTATGCATGTTGTGACCATTTTATAAAAGCAGTAAGGCACGTGACACTACACTATAATGAATATAGACACAAGTAAATGGGTTGAAAGACCTTCTGCTAGCACATCGGGACGAACAACGGTATTTACCTGTGACTATATTCATGATATAACATGGACTCTTGTGCCTTACTGTTTGAACAAACACCTCTCTTCTGAGACAACGATGCCTTGTGCGTAGAAAAGTTATGTATCACAGTATCATGTAACAGAGGGGATCAAGAGTTCAAAATAATGGTCCATCAGTATCCCCTTGCATGCGGGTTTTCAGTCTAACCACTCTTATAACGGCACTCTGACTATTGATGTGGATATTGATACCCTAGAGTGGTAGGCTACATGAATACCAATGCTGGGGCCACCCCACCCATGCAAATACTAGTGGAAAGCTTATTTCTCCCTGAGGTATGCCTACATGGCTGGGTGGCTTTGCAAATCAAATCAAGTTTATTTGTCATATGCACAGGATACACATGGTGTACATACACAGTACAATGAAATGCTTACTTACAGGTACACCTCTCATCTATGTGACAAAAATAAGACTGTGGTTTGTCATGATGGGTGTATCATTTGTCAAATAAATAAACAAAGAATGGTTGCTATGGTGAGACCACTTAGTGGGACATGCTTGCATTAGATCAAACAAAATGGAAATATAGATATTATTCTTCATCAAAGGTTCATTCTTCATCAAAGGGTTAATTTAAGTATCTCAAATACAATTTGTGGAAGCTTGATGTGTGGATAATAGTAAAGCTTAAAAATGTGTAAAGATATTCCAAAATGTAGGCTACATTAAAGCAATTACCATAAAATACTGAAAATAACCTCTTTGGGAACTGGCAACAATGGCAACCAACACAGTTTAAACTCTGCTGATATTTATAGGTTTTTAAAGTTTTTTTGTGATGCCCAATTGTTTTTAACAGGTCCCCTGTAGCTCGGTTGGTAGAGAATGGCGCTTGCAACGCCAGGGTTGTGGGTTCGTTTCCCACGGGGGGCCAGTATGAAAATGTATGCACTCACTAACTGTAAGTCGCTCTGGATAAGAGCGTCTGCTAAATGATTAAAATGTAAAATGACTAAAGGATTTGAAGTACTTGACATTGAATAATACACCATTCCAAGTTCTCTGATGTGATATCAATTCCTTAAACAATATAATAGGTAAAATAAATATGGATAACATGATATCACATTTAGGCTACTAATGGTATGATATTTGCATTGATATAATGTTTTGAAATAGTTGATTACTTCGCACTTGAAAGTATAAGGTTGTGAAATAATCACTGTGTATATTTTGATTACATAATATTCTTAATAAGATAATTTCATAACCATCGTCACAATATTACTGAGTATAGAATTCCATAACCTTTTAAACTTGAATGTAACCTAAATACTCAAACTGCAGATAGGGACCCTTTATAATATCATATCACACAATATGAGCTTTGAACTCGAGTTCCAGTGAGCTATGACAGTCACCTGCTGAATGAGACTCCATCCTGTCAGCTGGTCAGCTCTCAAAAAGAGAACGCCTGTTGTTCCGACATACATCAAAGTGCATGGACAGCATGTTAAAAGAACAATGACCGGAGGAAAAGTGATACAGAGAAGAGTGCTCCATGCATATGTCTGAACCATCGCAAGCAGCAAACATGGAGGCAGAGCCAGACCTTTAGGCCCAAGGCATCAGGTTTCTCGTGCGAAAAAGACAAAACTCAGATGTCATTTGCGAGACACAACCCCTCTCTGTGTAGATGGGAGACCCTGTTTGGAGGGCTCAGGTCATTTTTACACAGTTCTGCATGACCCAGCCACTAGCGTTGACGTCCAGCTTGAGCATATTCATGACCCATTCGTCCTTCTGGGCACCCTCCATAAACTCAGTAAAGGAAATCTGGCCTGTAATAGAAGGAAAAAAACAATACAATTTAAAAAGTGTACATTTTGGTGGGCAATGATCCAACATCTTTCTCAGGTTAAGGTTACTGCCTTTGATATAACTCGGATGTAGTGCCAACTTAGTAAGAATGTAGGAAGCCATTCATGCTTATTAAAAGTGGGATGCCATTCATGCTTAATAAAAGTAGGAAGCCATTCATGCTTAATAAAAGTAGGAAACCATTCATGCTTATTAAAAGTAGGAAGCCATTCATGCTGATTAAAAGTAGGAAGCCATTCATGCTTATTAAAAGTAAGAAGCCATTCATGCTTATTAAAAGTAGGAAGCCATTCATGCTTATTAAAAATAAAACAACAAACCAGTGGTAAAACCACCTTTCCTCTGTATAATGGGCCACGTAGCACCTGTCCATGAGAATGCCAGAGCAAAGTCTCCCTCAAATGGACCACCAATTAGCACAAGCATTACGTAATACTGGTCATTACATCAGACTGACCAGTGTGTAAGAAATGTGTAACAAATAAGAACAAATAAGAATTTGTTCTTAACTGACTTGCCTAGTCAAATAAAATACAAAACGGTCAGTGACAAACGCATATTGTCTCCCGCTGGTGCATGTAAAGTCCTTAGAACACAGATTGTTCATCGTTGTGGTACTATATATTTGGTACAGATTTGAATGCATGTTCTGCCGTATATATGAATATATCTTAACAGGGCACTTACCATCATGATTTTTGTCAACCAGCTCAAAGATCCTGTCACAGACTTCATTAGGTGTCATGTTTATGGCAGTTGTATGAAGCTTGATTTTGTAAATGATCTGCAAATGTATGAGATGCATTTCATTACGTACAGCTGGGGGAAATACAGTGTGGTACTTGATAAAAGTCTCTTTTACATTGGTGTCCTATCTCAAATGGTATACATTTAAAAGGGTTTCAACATAAAAAGATGGGTTTACCCCACTGACGTAAAATATGAAGTTGTATAAACTTTTATATTACAGAAGTATTATTTTGTCTAGTGTTGTTTATCTCAGCTTAATTTACTGAGTTCACATAAGGTCATATTTTAAGGCAGATGGGTAACAAACAAAAAATAATAGTAACCCAACTGCCTTAGAATGTTATGTTGTCTCAATTTAGGAAATCGAGAGTTACCAAAACTAGGTAATAAAGTATTATTAACATTATAATATATACTATGTCATATCATCAGTGGGGTAACACATCTTTATAAATGGAGAAAACATTTTTGCACTGAAACAATACTGTGACATTAGGCCTTTTTAATCGACGAAGGAAAAAGATAGAGAACCTATATGTACAGTAAACACCAGAGCCGTGAACTCAGCTGACCTACAGGCATGGGGGCTGGTTCAGTTCAGTACCAGATAGGCTATAGGATCAGGGCTAGGGATAGATGTTCCCAATAATAACAGGCATTAAAGCCACATGCTCCTCCCATCCTTTCATCCAATAACATGTATGGACGGAATTAGATTTGTGAAAATCCCAGACGTCACACGCAGTCGCTTTCCCCTGACCTGATCCTAATCCCTGACCTGCAGCATATTAAGGCACTGCCCTAATGACATTAGTTTGATGTAATACCTGTATTATACAAGTCATACAATTTAGAAAACTTCAAAATGAGGATTGCAGATTACACTACCAGTTTAACAACTAAATGTGTCCAGCTGTTCTTAGACTTAGAAAAGAAGGCGTAGGTGCATAGCCTAGCATAACTGATCTATAAGTACTAGTAGACTACAAAAGGCAGGTAGTTTAGTGGTTAAGAGCGTTGTGCCAGTAACCGAAAGGTCGCTGGTTCTAATCCCTGAGCCGACTAGGTGAAAAATCTGTCTGTGCCGTTGAGAGAGGCACTTAACCCTAATTGCTCTGGATAAGAGTGTCTGCTAAATGACTAAAATGTAAAACATGTAAAGGCTTGAATGAAGCAGCCAGTCAATAGCCTAATGCAGAGGAAGATGATGTGTGATTTCTTACCTGAATCAGGTTTTTCACCTCTTGTCGGTCTAACTTGCCATTCCCGTCCTTGTCGTAGATTTTAAAGGACCACTTTAACCTATCCTCAAGATTCCCGCGCAATATCAGGTGAAGAGCGGCCGTATACTCCATAAAATCCAACGCGTTATCCTGTGAAAACAATACATGGATTTATTGCATGTTTACCTTTTGAATGCATAATGATAACAGAAGCTAATGCAATTAAAGGGATAGTTCACCCACATTTTCTAAATGAAATCATGGTACCGGTATTAGCGTTTTTCATGCATCATGTCCAAATCAAAAGTATCTCAAATTGATTGTGAAGCGCAACAAAGTCACGAATACAGTGCTTTTAGAAAGTATTCACACCCCTTGACTTTTTCCACATTTTGTTGTGTTACAGCCTGAATTTAAATTGGATTAAAGTGAGATTTTTGTCACTGGTCTACACACAATAGCCCATAATGTCAAAGTGAAATTATGTTCTTCTAAATTTTTACTAATTAATAATATTTTAAAGCTGAAATGTCTTGAATCAATAAGTATTCAACCCCTTTGTTATGGTACGTCTAAATAAGTTCAGGAGAAACAATGTGCTTAAGAAGTCACATAATAAGTTGCAATAATAGTGTTTCATGTGATTTTTGAACGTCTACCTCATCTCAGTACCCCACACATACAATTATCTGTAAGGTCCCTCAGTCGAGCAGTGAATTTCAAACAAATTCAACCACAAAGACCAGGGAGGTTTTCCAATGCCTCGCAAAGAAGGGCATCAACTGGTAGCTGGGTAAACATTTTAAAAGGAGATATTGAATATCCCTTTGAGCATGGTGAAGTTATTAATTACACTTTGGATGGTGTATCAATACACCCTGTCACTACAAAGATACAGGCGTCCATCCTAACTCAGTTGCTGGAGAGGAAGGAAACCGATCAGGGATTTCATTATCAGGCTAATGGTGACTTTAAAACAGTTACATAATTTAATAGGTTTGGTTTGGGAGAAAACTGAGGATGGATCAATAACAGGTAGCTTAGTGGTTAAGAGCATTGTGCCAGTAACCGAAAGGTCACTGGTTCTAATCCCCGAGCTGACTAGGTGAAAAATCTGTCGATGTGCCCTTGAGCAAGGCACTTAACCCTAATTGCTCCTGTAAGTCACTCTGGATAAGAGCGTCTGCTAAATGACTAAAATGTAAATGTAATATTAACCTAATTGACAGAGTGAAAAGAAGGAAGCCTGTACAGAATAAAAAATATTCCAAAACATGCATCCTGTTTGCAACAAGGCATTAAAGTAATACTGCAAAATATATTTGCAAAGCAATTCCTGAATACAAAGTGTTATGTTTGGGGCAAATCCAATGCAACACATTACTGAGTACCACTGTCCATATTTTCAAGCATCGTGGTGGCTGCATCATGTTATGGGTATGCTTGTACTTGTTAAGGACTGGGGAGTTTTTCAGGATAAAAAAGAAACTGAATGGAGCTAAGCACAGGCAAAATCCTGGAGGAAAACCTGGTTCAGTCTGCATTCCACCAGACACTGGGAGATTAATTCACCTTTCAGCAGGCGATAACCTAAAAGACAAGACCAAATCTACACTGGAGTTGCTTACCAAGACAGTGAATGTTCCTGAGTGGCCGAGTTACAGTTTGGACTTAAATCTGCTTGAAAATCTATAGCAAGACTTGAAAATGGTTGTCTAGCAATGATCAACAACCAATTTGACAGAGCTTGAAGAATTTTGAAAAGAATAATGGACAAATATTGTACAATCCAGGTGTGAAAAGCTCTTAGAAACGTACCCAGAAAGACTCACAGCTGTAATCGCTGCCAAAGGCGATTCTAACATATATTGACTCAGGGGTGTGAATACTTATGTAAATTAGATAGTTCTATTTTCATTTTCAATACATTTGCAAACATTTATAAAAACATGTTTTTACTTTGTCATTATGGGGTATTGTGTGTAGATGGGTGAGAAAAAAATAATGTAATCAATTTTGAATTCAGGCTGTAGCACAACAGAATGTGTAGTTAGTCAAGGGGTATGAATACTTTCTGAAGGCACAGTAGATGATTGGAACATGATGCACAAAAAATGCTAATATCGGTACCATGAGATTAGCATTTGGAAACAGTGCCAGGGAAACTAAACCAAATCATGGATTGCTGTCATACCTTGTCCATAGACCGCTTACCGGGTAAGGAAACCAATATTACATTTTGTAATTTGGATGAACTGTCCCTTTAATAGCACAATGGATGACTAGAATGGCTTTCACATTTTTCATATTATTTCCTGACTGAAAAATGTTTTGCCCACTTCACTTACCCTGTTTGTGTCGAATGAATGGAAGACCGTCTCAATGTACAAAGTCTCTTCCTCACAACTGGCCGGTACGCCAAAGATGCGTTTTAATTCATGCAGGTGCAAAGTCCCGCTCGGGCACTCCTTCATAAAAGTCATACACAGCTCCTGAATTTGCTCCAAATCCATCTCGTCATTGTGGCTTTCTACTTGACCCATTGTTTCAGTTCACTTGGATGGTAGACAATATTTTCTACAAAAATTCAAGCAAATATAGTTCAACCTAAAGGTTATAAGTTAAAGTCTGGCAACTACAGGTGGCTACCGACACATCTGCTCACACAGTCCCATCAAACTAAATGCCTTTAATCCACTTGCCAGAAACCATAGCCTAATGGGGAACTGGACAGAGTTGTACTGTATATTTAACCTTTCAATCAGATTAACACAGCAATCTCTGGCTCTTTCACCTGACCATTTAAGAGTGCATGTCCTGATATACTCCCTAGGCATGTCCTGAAATACTCCCTAGGCATTTCCTGACATACTCCCTAGGCATGTCCTGACATACAGCGCCTTCAGAAAGTATTCACACCCCTTGACTTTTTTCACATTTTGTTGTGTTACAGCCTGAATTTAAAATGGATGAAATATAGATTTTGTCACTGGCCTACACAAAAGGGTGCTGCGGCTGTCCCCATAGGAAAACACTTTTGGTTCCAGGTAGAACTCTTTTGGGTTCCATGTAGAACCCTCTGTGGAAAGGGTTCTACATGGAACCAAAATAGTTCTACCTGGAACCAAAAGGGGTTCTTCAAAGGGTTATCCTGTGGGGACATTTTTACAAATTAATAAAAATTGAAAAGCTGAAATGTCTTAAGTTAATAAGTATTCAACCCCTTTGTTATGGCAAGCATAAATAAGTTCACTGTACCCCACACATACAATAAAATGTAATATTTTTTTACATTTTAGTCATTTAAAACAGACACTCTTATCCAGAACAACTTACAATTAGTGAATCATCTTAAGATAGATACACTATATATATAAAAGTATGTGGACACCCCTTCAAATTAGTGGATTCGGCTATTTCAGCCACAGCCGTTGCTGACAGGTGTATAAAATCGAGCACACCGCCATGCAATCTCCATAGACAAACATTGGCATTAGAATGGCCTTACTGAAGAGCTCAGTGACTTTCAACATGGCACCCTCATAGGATGCCACCTTTCCAACAAGTCAGTTTGTCACATTTCTGCCCTGCTAGAGCTGCCCCGGTCAACTGTAAGTACTGTTATTGTGAAGTGGAAACGTCTAGGAGCGGCAACGGCTCAGCCGAGTGGTAGGCCACAGAAGCTCACAGAACGCGACCGCCGTGTGCTGAAAAATCGTCTGTCCTTGGTTGCAACACTCACTACCGAGTTCCAAACTGCCTCTGGAAGCAACTTCAGCACAAGAACTGTTCATCGGGAGCTTCATGAAATGGGTTTCCATGGCCGAGGAGCCGCACACAAGCCTAAGATCACCATGCGCAATGCCAAGTGTCAGCTGGAGTGGTGTAAAGCTCGCCGTCATTGGACTCTGGAGCAGTGCAAACGCGTTCTCTGGAGTGATGAATCACGCTTCACCATCTGGCAGTCTGACAGACAAATCTGGGTGTGGCGGATGCCAGGAGAACACTACCTGCCCGAATGCATAGTGCCAACTATAAAGTTTGGTGGAGGAGGGATAATGGTCTGGGGCTGTTTTTCATGGTTCGGGCTAGGCCCCTTAGTTCCAGTGAAGGGAAATCTTAATTATACAGCATATAATGACATTCTAGACGATTCTCTACTTCCAACTTTGTGACAACAGTTGGGGGAAGGGCCTTTCCTGTTTCAGCATGACAATGCCCCCATGCACAAAGCGAGGTCCATACAGAAATGGTTTGTCGAGATCGGTGTGGAAGAACTTGACTGGCCTGCACAGAGCCCTGACCTCAACCCCATCGAACACCTTTGGGATGAATTGGAACGCCGACTGCGTGACACCCCCACAAGAAAAGCCCAGAATGTCTTCTCAAAGCTACAACAGGACCTAACACAGTGGCATGTATGGCCTTTAGAGATACAGACCAAAAACGAACGTCCATTAGAGAGGACAACAAGGAATTGTTGGGTCTCGGGAGAATATTAGGCCTAATGTCGGTTGGTTACATTGTAGGTTGGCTTTGTTATTTTTGGCATAACAGAATGCCCCCTTAAAAGGAAGATTCTTGCCTTTCTGGTGACAGAAGTTAGATTTTCTCTGAAAGAAAAGAGAAGGGAAAAAGGCTCTAATGAGCCAGTGTTCACAGAATGGATGGATTTGTTGATAATCTCATAAAATGTTGTTTTTTATGTTAGACAAAAGGCTGGAGAAAAGTAATACAGACTCTAAAGAGATATGGGAGCAATTCTTGCTTCTCCTTAAAGGTACATAAAGGAGTAAAATGTCCAAGAAGTATCACTTATCAGAAAGTTATGGTATGTTAGTTTGTGTTGTTAGTTTTTGTAATTGTACTTTATTTGTTGTGGCCCATTGGGCGCATGTATAGTTTGGTATATTGTTTGATTGTTTTTTGTTAAATATGAAAAAATTAAATAAATTGTCTTTAAAAAAATTATTATTCTCGTTAAGAAGAAGAAATATAGTTGTTGTGTCAGTTTGACTGGACATTTCTAGCCTGCATTACACTAAAACTCTTTTTTTTTTGTACAAACAAAAAATGCATCATAGCAAAAAACACCTCATGTCAGATTCTATACATCTGTAGTCAATAGGGTGAGTGAGGGTTCTCTGTGCTTGTAATAGACCATCCATAGTGTTCCAGTCATGGAAATAGGACTGTTAAAGATCATGTACAGATGTAGGGTCATTTTATCACTCCTTTGTTGCTGAGAATTTTCCTGCACGGCAGGAAATGCAAACTTGTAGTGTATGCATTTTAAAAAGACTTGCCCTAAATGTGTCAACCCCTACAAAAATAGCCATTAATTATAATCTGCATAATAATTCACATTTCCTGTTGCTGCAGGATTATTTTCCTGCTGTAGCAAACTGGATCAAATAAAATCCTACACCTGTACTAGTGCCCTAAAGGCTTAGATACTAGTATAGCATTACCTTAGATGGCATTAGTGCAATTACTGGCCTGGTGTTGCATAACAAATGCCAGGTTAGACCACCTCTCACCTACCACTGGAAGCCAGCCTACACAGAGCTATAGGGGCTCCCGAGTGGCGCAGCGGTCTAAGGCACTGCATCTCAATGCTTGAGGCGTCACTACAGACCCCCTGGTTCGATTCCAGGCTGTATCACAACCGGCCGTGATTGGGAGTCCCATAGGGCGGCGCACAATTGGCCCAGCGTCGTCCAGGTTTGGCCGGTGTAGGCCGTCATTGTAAATAAGAATTTGTTCTTAACTGACTTGCCTAGTTACAGTTTTTCTCAATTGTTTACACACATTTTCTGAAAGCCTGCCTCATTCTCAGAACTCTACACACAAATCAAAAAACACACACACACAATGGGCAAAACCCCTCAATTCCCTAGCAAAATGAAACTTACATCAAACAAGTTTTTCTTATCAAAATTGTATTTGTTTTCAAATGGACACACACAAACCATCATATGAATAGACATTTATAAGAACCATTGAACACTGATTTGCTCAATGTAAAAAACTATGATGAATGGAAACACTTTTTCTCCATTCATCATAATGAATTAGGCCTTTTTTTGGTTCAGTGTTGCCTTACTACAGCAGTAAATACATAGTGTGTTGTAAAATATTTGAGAATATTGTTTTTACACTTAGAACACACAATACACAGAAGAACAAATTATTTCATTTTTCCCACAAAAAAATGGGACACAGTGTACACAAAAACAATGTACATCCCATTCCCAAACAACACAAAATTTCACATACAGTGGTCTACATACAAAACAGAAGAATTTAATGTATACATTACAGTAAAAAAATCAAATTAAAAAAAAAAATAACTTGCTGGGATCCTCTTTTTGTTGCGGTCTGGCCACAGCACCTCATCCCCCATCACAAGCAAAGTTTTCCCTGGCCAAGCAGCGGGGGAAAATCACCTAGCATGGCGATTCCAGCCATGAAAGCATCACTGCTATATCTCCCCATGCTCTTCCATAGCTTGGAGAAGAGGTGTACCGTTTGTGGATTTCGGTCAAAACACTTCATCTCCAGGCAGAAAAAAATTCCTCAATAGGATGAGGAATGGCGAATATGGAGGGAGATAAACAACTAAAAAGCGTGGTGGGCATTTAACCAGTTACGAACCAGAGCAGCCCTGTGGAAACGTACGTTGTCCCAAATGACAATGTACCTGAGCTGCTCTGGGCATCTACCTGATCTGGTGGATGAGTGTGTTGTGTAGGTGTCCAGGAATGTGATCGATGGGGGGTGTTTGGAGGGTCAAATGTAGCTTGGGGAGGATGACGCCGTGGTGGGTAATCGCTGCAACATTGTGATGTTCCCTCCGCGCTGGCCAGGGACTGAACAATGGCACGCTGGCCGATGATATTTTCCCTTCCGCCTCTTTCGTCTTTTGTGAGGTTGAATCCAACCTCATCATGAAGATGACTGGTGCTCCACTGCAGCCACCCCTCTAGCTCAAGGACCCCTGAAACACACATGACAATATCAGAAATAGACATGGAGTGGTCACTATTGGAAGCACAATCATTATAATTACAATACTGAAATATGTTAATTTATACAGTGTTGAGAGTGTGCATCAATTGTGGGATTGTATAGGACTCACTTGCACATAGTTATATCGCAATTCTTTGACTCTTTCTGAATTGCGTTCAAATGGCACCCTGTAGACCTGCTTCATCCTGAGATTATTTCTGCGCAAGACACGGTCCAGTGTTGATAAGCTTACCCTATCAATATTTTGAAATATCTCATTGTTTCTATTATTTTTCTTTGTATTTGCCGTAATGTTATGGCGTTATTTCTAGGACCATGTTCATGATTTCAGTTTCCTGTTCATGAGACAGAACACGTTCCCGACCACCTTGTGTTGGTAATCTTTCAGTTCTGCCAAACAAATAGTAAAATGCTGTAATACAAAGTAGAAATACATTTCCCAAATACTTGAAACATACTTTATTTTTTACAGTCCTACAGAACAGTCCACAGGCAATACTGTACTACTGTA